TGGTTAAAAGGGGAGCTTAGTTTTATATAAATCCATGAAGGTCTATAAGAAGGAAAAACGATGGGATCCCCAAATTCCTCCTTGAAGCCAACTTGGTCTAACAAGAGGAAGCATTCTCCACGTCCCCGTTCTTCGAAGAACCTAACTCGGTCGACCAAGAGGACGTGTTCTCCACACAAGAGGGTCCCCTTGTACCCTCCAGCCTTGTGCTCTCTCATGGATCTGGAAGGATCCGAGATGGATCAAGCAAGTTTCTTTGAACTTAAAGAACCTAGAGAGGTGGACAATGAACTCGTGATGAAGCAAGAACCACTTGAAGAGTTAAGATTGGATCAAGTTTCTTGCTCCGAGGTCGACTGGGGGGAACGTCTCAAAGATCTCTAGTTTGATGAAAATTGGTCACTTTAGCAAGAGATGTTTTGTACAAATAAACATTTTGAATGATTTAATTTGAGCCAAGTTGACATCCCTGGGTCAGTTGAAAGTAACTGTCGTCCGGCACTGCTGCTGCTGCTTTCGATCGATTTCTTCTTGATCTACAGCACCATCGAAAGCACTCGAAACAACCCAAGCATCCCGGGATTTCCAAGAACTCTGGAAAGTCTATCAATTTTTCCTGAACCGGCTCTCGAGATCACTCGCAAAAGATGACAACAATGGACTTCCCTGGTGGTATAACATCAACCCGCACTTTCCATGGCCCTCCTTTCCATTTCTGCGGCCTCCAATGCTACCACCACCGCCACCGCTACCTTTGTGCCCGCCACCACCGCCGCCAGTAAACTTCACCTCCAGCGATGTCGATTGAATCAACCTTGCTCTCAACGTTCACTATCTCCAAGCGGAGTTCTTCCTCCATGCAGTGTTTGGACATGGGCTTGACAAAGTTAATGCAAAGCTTGCCAAGAAGGGGCCACCGCCTATTGGAGGCCGCAAAGCTCAACTCTCTACACGAATGGAGCATGTTGCCAAAGAACTTAGGCTCCAATCTACAGGTCATATCAGGTAGTTAACATTCTTTCTCTCAAGTCTTTTTTTCTAAAGTTGTTTTCACACGGCCGACAAATCGATTGTTTGTCCAGCTTATCATGGATTGCCCCCTGCTAAACATCAATGCTGGAGTGTGGAATTCCCTCATCAGCATGCTCTCATTCACAATCACGCCGAAGTTGATGGTGGTTCTTTGCAGTTTGATCCGTACGAAAACGACGCAAACTTTCTCATTGCTGCATATGTGATACCGTACATTGGCCTCAACACGCTCGTAGATTCGAGCAATCGAGTCACTGGCATTCAAGCACGAAAGGTAACAAAGAATTACAAGTTTTTATGAAGATTTTCAAGAGATTCTTTGTTTCCTCAAAACAGTGGTTATGGGAGTCCAAGCCGGCCAGGACGCAGTGATCCGGGCACTGCTCTTCGAGATCATGGAAAACAAGTTGCCTCCGCACAACGTCACAGTCGCCGTCTCGGATCTCCGTCGCAAGCTTGATCACACAAGAAAGGCTGACGAGGGCTTGAGTGTGCATCAAAACCGTGGAGCCGAGAAGCAAGTAAACGGGAATCTGATCTCCGCGAATGCTACGCCATGGCCATCTCGAGACCGCCCCAGCAAGTTCTCCAAGTTTTGTACGGACACAGGAGACGCTTCCGTACCGGGATTGTTCTTGGCTGACATCTTTCTCACACGCAGGCGGCCCAAACTTTAGTGTGAATGACCTTTTGCCTTTCCAGAAGTTCTAGCAAATGAAATTCCAAACTTAGGATCAGCCGAGGAAACCTTCTTGTAAAAACAAACAGTGTCTCCTTCCTTGAGCGAGTGCTCCCTCACGTAATGAATCCAGTGTGTTGTGATCAGGCTCCCAGTTTTCCCTTTCTTGCATCGGAGCTCCCAAACTCCGCCCTCTTCGTCCACAAATTCCACGAGAACCTTTTGATCATTCGGGAGAATCGACTCGTACTTGACCGGGATGAGCAATCTGTGCAGGCTATTCACGTCGCTGGCGGTCAGCTTCTTGCCAAATAGTAGAGCCCAACGAGATGGATCGCAGGTGACGAGGGGATCCTCGCGTTTCCGGCATTCGTCCATGACCACCACCTTTCTTCGTTTCTTCTCGTGTAGCTGCCTAGCTTCCTGGTTAATCACTCGTCTTTTGCCGTTGGAATCGGGCTCGCTGGTGCTCATATCCGCCGTGAACCAAAGTAGAGCCCTCCAGAGCATGGATTTCCGTGGAGACCGCTTCCTTCTCAGGACAAATGTCTTCGAAAAACTTGGCTGCAAGGCTGCAGCGTCCGCAAGAACCAACAGTCCAGAAAAATCTTTGCTTGTCATCTCACCACTAGTGGAAAAAACCCTTCGCTTTAATCCAAACCTATACACTATTCACTGCCTTTTAAATAAAAGTTAAGCAAAAGGGAGTTAAAAATCTTGGCGACGCCTACGTGGCAAAAGGCTTTGATTTGAAATCCCTCTTCAAATTTGGTTCCCGGTTCGTCGATCGATCGATCGATCGATCGGAGGAAAGATTGTTTGCCAGTTACTATATATCGCGATGAGGAGCGCATTGGGTCTTTCGGGCCAATTGATGAGATGTCGGTCCTCCCCGGCGACCAGCGCAAATGCTGTGATGATCTTGGCATCATCGGCGCCACCGCCGTTCGAATTGAGCAGCTTCAATCCTCTCAGCACTGCCGCCGCTGCCGCCACCGCCGCCTCCGGAGTGGCATCGACTTGTAGAGATTTCAGGAAGCTCTTGCTCAGTCGCCCATATGTAAACACGAGTCTCTCTCCTTTCTCTTCGATCTTTCGCATTTAAATGGGCGATGTCGAATCGATTCAACTCTCTTGGATTTCGATGGCGGTGGTGCACAAACAGGGGAGGAAGAGGGCTGATCCCGAGGATGAGAAGATGCTGTGTATAATTCGATACAAGCACGATCCTATCGTTTGTTTTCTTCCGTAGGTTCTCCAGTAGACGAGCTAGAACAAACATTTTTCCAGACAACTTAACCCAGCCCCCGTCGCATGCAAAATTGTTATGTGGATATAGATGATGTAAAGATTCAGTGATTTAAATTTTATAAAATTTGAGATTCAATAACTATTTGATTCAATCTACCAAACTCTAGCTAAGCATGCTCCTTTAGCACTTGAGATGCCAGGGCCTCCACTGATATGGAGTTTGCTCTCATCTAGTTCTCTTATTTGGAGTTTGCTCTCATCTTGTTCTCTTGTCAGGTTTGCATTACATCAGTCTGGAGCTTACTTTCATCTCATTCTCTTGTCAGGTTTTCATTACACCGGTCAAGAGCTTGCTTTCAATATCGTTCGCTCGTCGGTGGAGTTTCATCAGGTTCTCTTATCAGGTGTGACCAGTCTAGAGCTTGCATAAAATCCACTCACAGTTTCATAGTTCACATCAGGAGCAAGTTCGCAACAATTGCTCACCGATTGGGTGTGTTTTCATGCTCATTGATTGATATGGTTTTGTAATTAATTTTTTTTAATAGCGCTCTTTGCTCCTGCTGGAGCTGGCAAAGCTGGAGAATCAGTGGAGACGGACCTATAGTGCTTCGATCATGACTAGTGCTTATTTTGCTAGCCATACATGCCACACTTGCGTTACATGGATCAAGAGGGAAATGAGCCAAGCGATCTACTCTTACTTGCGTGTAAGAGGCCTTTGCGTTCCAGGCTCTCAACGCAATCGTCGAACATTTGCTCCAGCGACTTGAATTGGATCCCAAGGTCGTCCTGAAGCTTTCTGGAGCTGAATCCCTTGAAATTTGCCGGCCACCGGACCTCGATCCTGCAAGAAAGCAAAGGAATGAGTATAAAACAGCGGCAGAAAACTAAATGTTTGTTTGCGTGATCTTACTCGTCGGTAGAGGCGATTTTGTGCTTGGGATACCTCTTGGACATGAAGCTGGCGAGCTCGATCGCACTCATGTTGATAGCAGAGCAAACGTATCTTCCACTGGCTTTGGGATTTGTGTAGGCGAGGAGGTGAGCTTGAGCAACGTCGTCGAGATGGACGTATCCAACGTGATCCATCCACTGCTTGGCTCCTGCAATGAGGTTGGAATCTCAAAAACGTCCTCTTTTTTTTCTTCCGATATAGAAAGGCTTGCCTTGGAGCAGCCGGAGAATATCGGCAGCGCTTGCGGTGGGCCTGGACGAGAGAAGTTCTCCAGTGATTAAGCTGGGAGCGATTGTGATCACATCTATGCCGCTTTCTTTCCCAAACTCGAGTGCTGCTTGCTCGGATAGAGTCTTTCCCAGACCATACCACATCTAGACTTCAAAAACTTTTTAAGAATTGGTCCCTTGGAAATAAGACACTTGCCTGAGTCTCACGGCAGCAGTCTGGGGAGCTCCACACCGATTCATCCAAGACGTCATCGGGCTTGAAGTCGTTCCTCACGCGAACAGCAGCCACGGATGACGTGCACACCACTCGCTTGACTGTCGTGGATCTCTTGCAGGCATTGAGCACGTTTAGAGTTCCAAGCAAGCATGGATCAACAATCTCGGCCTGGAAGAAGAACCGAAAGCAAAAACAACCAGTAAAGACTAGACCGAATCGAAGGAGTCAAAGCAAAGTTACCTGTGGATCCTCCTTGTAGCTGAAAGTCACGGCAGCTGCGACATGGAAAACTCCATGGCAGCCTGGAACAATATCATCAAAGGCCCCTTGCGTGACAAGGTCGGCCTTCTTGAGCTCCAGCCTCTCTGTCGCCCCTGGAAGCTCCCACAGGTGGGAAATCTTGCTTGCATCGTCTAGGATCACAAACAAGAGAATTAGACTATGTTTCTTCTCGTTTGTATGTACCTGGATCGCGCACAGTCCCGACGACGTGATATCCCTCCTCCAATAGCCGCTTCACGAGCCAAGATGCCAGGAAACCAGAAGCGCCGGTGACACACACCTTCTCGTTTGCCATCGCCACGGAATGACCCTAAAGTGGACCTTGGCTCTCACTCACACAAGAATGATCAGTAACCAGGAATTTAGTACTTTCAAACCTTGTCAATGCTGGACAATGAATAGAACTTTCATTCCCTTCGCTTGAGCGATGATCTTCCAGAGGTTCCTGTGGCAGAAAAAGCTTCCTAGAGCTTGAGAAACACGAACTCCTCCACCGCCGGGATGGCCCCGATCCTGTGCAGCACTTCCTTGCTCGGCTCCTCATCCACGCCAATCGCCATCACCGCCTGCTTCCTGGGTGAAGTCCTCCCCACGCTCATGAAGCTCACGTTCACGTTCCCGTCGCCCAGCAGCCCGCCAACTTTCCCGATGATCCCCGGCTGATCCACCTGTTTGCACAGGATGACCGATCCCTCCAGGCTCACGTCCATGCTAAACTGCCCCACCTGCGAGAGGTGTGGAAGCCCGTCCTTGATCCTGCCCGCCACCGCCACCGCCACCCTTCCACCGTCGGAGACTGCACTCGAGAACTTGGACTCCACGTTGGAGATCTTCACCGCGATGCTCTCCAGCGGCTGGGCCTGCGTGCTGCCCCCCTCGGCCGGGTGCCTCTCCTCGCTGATCCGGATGCCACGGTGCTTTGCGACGTAGTCCGCGTTCACGAGGTTGATGAAGGCGTTCGACACTGGCTCCACCAGGCCCTTGACGATCATCGCGCGGAGGAGCCGGGTGTCTAGATCGTCCGGGGACCGGGCGGACGTGTAGCTGATGGTTACGTCCTTGACTCCGCCCCCGCCGGCTACCAGCTGCACGGCTAGCTTTCCCAGCTTCTCGGCCAGTGAGACATACGGCGCAAGCTCGGTTAAAACCTGGAGTTGCGAGCATTGAGTGTCGAGCAAAGCAGTAAAGAGATTAGCATACCTTGGAGGAAACCATTGGAGCGTTCACCGCAGTAGCGGAAAGCTCTCCACGCAACGCGCCAACGACAGCCTCAGCAATCTCTACGGCCACGCCTTCCTACAAACTCCATTTTGATTAGTTGATGATAAGGTGAGCCATGGAAGTTGGGATGCTGCTAACCTGCGCTTCTACCGTGCTCGCACCTAGATGCGGAGTAACTATCACATTCTCGTGCTGGACCACCTTGTTGTCCTTTGCAGGCGGTTCTTGCTCGAACACATCGAGAGCAGCCTAACAAAAAACACACCAACGATTGTCAAATCTCTCTCTCTCTTGAACAAATAAGTAAAATCTACCTGAGCCACAGTGCCATTGTCAAGTGCCTTGATCAACGCAGCATCGTCAATGACACCGCCCCTCGCGACGTTGATGATACGAACTCCCTTCTTCACCTTCGCAAAAGTTTCGTCGTTGAAAATGCCCCGGGTATCATCCGTGAGCGGCATGTGGAGCGAGATATAGTCGGCTCGAGCCAGTGCCTCGTCGAAGCCAACGAGCTCCACTCCAATCGCGCGGGCCCTGTCGGCGGGAGCATACGGATCGTGCGCAATTACGTGCATGCCCAGGCCTTTGGCTCTTCGAGCAACTTCCGATCCCACTTTCCCAAAGCCCATGACGGCGATGGTTTTGTCTACTAGAGAAACGCCCGTGTACTTGCTTCTCTGCCACTTCCCTGGAGAAGCAGAAAAAATAAAGAAACGACTCTCGTGTTAGTTCTATGCAGAACAAAGCTTAGACCAAGAGAGTAGAACTTAGTAAACAATGGAGCAAGGTCAGCAAGACAAGACCAAACAAAGCTAATGATTTCAAACAATGGAGCAAAGTCACCAAAACAAGATCAAGCAAAGTTAGTGATTTTAAACCATGGAGCAAAGTCAGCAAGACAAGATCAAACAAAGCTAATGATTCCCAACAATGGAACAAAGTCAGCAAGACATTATCAAACAAAGCAACGATTTTAAAAGCACTCGTGCGCAAGAACAAGGTTGATGGAGCATCCAGCAAAACACAAACACAATCAAAAAACGCAAAGAAAAGAAAAGAAATGCTACACAAAGATCTTACCTGATTTGACAGAGGCGTTTGCTTGCGCGACGTTCCTGGCCAATGCAGCAAGGAGAGCAATGGCGTGCTCTGCCGCTGCCACAGTGTTTGCCGTGGGAGCATTCACTACCAGGCAGCCCTTCTCGGTGGCGGCTTGCAAGTTGACGTTGTCGATCCCAACGCCAGCCCTCCCCACGACCTTTAGTCTTCCATTGGCCGCCTCAAACACCTCCTTTGTGACCTTGGTAGCGCTCCTCACGATCACTGCGTCACACAGGGAAATCTTGGCCAGGAGCTCCTCGGGGGAGAGGTTGTAGGAGCAGTCGACGTTGGCTACCTTGCGGAGGAGATCCAGGCCGGCCTCTCCCAGCTTCTCAGCGACGAGCACGGTCGGCCTGGGCGTCACATCCAGCGGCTGCTGCGATCGCACAGAGACCTCGGCCCTGGCGGCGTTGGATCGGAATGCCGCTGGGCGGCGCTCGCGGTAGCTGTGGAGCAGCGATCCCCTGCCAAGAAAATGCCGAGGCGATCGAAGATTCCTGCTGCATGACGGCACCACGAGTGAGATCGACGCCGCTGGAGACGCCTCAGGGGCGAGATTCACCGCCGATCCAGCCGGGAACGGGACCGCCGCCATGGGAAGAGCTCACGAGGAACGAAATAGGGCATTAGAGAGTTTAATGGAATGGTATTGTTGATAGTGGGAATCGAACTAGAAATCCACGTTTAAATCGCTTAACAGTAGAGGCTAGGGCTAGGGCTTTAGGGGAGCCCTATCCCACATGCCCAAGGCCGATGGAAAACTTTTACTATAAAAGACCTCGCCTAGGAGTAGATAATGTCTCTTCGGAGACACCAGATAAAATTGGAACGATACAGAGAAGATTAGCATGGCCCCTGCGCAAGGATGACACGCACAAATCGAGAAATGGTCCAAATTTTTTTCTAGATTATTTTTGGCTTTTTTTATTTATAGAGGGTTTGGCATTAGGGTTTATGTGGCGAGATGGAAGACGATGCTGTCCCCGGCCCCGCCAAGCATGCTCCTGTCGATCGCGATTCCAAGGATTCCAAGTGAGTATTGCGGCGCTTGGGATGGCTGAGAATTTGATGTGTTTCTGCCAGGAAATCCACTCCGATTCCGCCCGGGGGTCTCATGAAAGCTGTCGTGAGGCCTGGAGCGGGAGATAATCCGCAATCAGGAAACCAGGTGTGGATTTCGTATTTTTTCTGCATGTGGAGGCGTGACGGAGAATGCAGGTGATCTTTCACTGCACTACTCGGACGAGCGAGGGCGTGATTGTGGAATCCACTCGGCCAGAGCTTGGCGGTTCGTTTCATTCACTTGCCAGATTTTTTACTTTATTTCTATCGTGTTTTAGGAAGCGGTGAGCCAATTAAGCTGGTGCTTGGAAAGAGCAAGATGATTCGAGGCTGGGAAGAAGGACTACTAACTGTCCCCAAAGGTGAAATTGCGATGGTGGGGAAATTCAATAGCATCTCTTTGTTTCTCATTCATACTCGATGATGGTTTCCCAGCTTAAAATCTTACCTGAGTTTCACTATGGAGATCCCGACTGTCCGGTTAGTGTGGGAGAAGACTTTCCGAAACACGAGATTCTAATTTTTGAGATCGAAATGCTTGAGATCCGACCTGTGAAGGTCAGTCCTAAAAGGCTTTGCTCTTTTCTTTCTTGACTCGAGCTTTTGGTCGTTGTTGTCAGGTGATCACAGATGAGTTTGGGGTACTCAAGCAGGTTCGTATATACTCGATTTGCAAGATCCGAAGTTAACTCAACCTTTAGGTTCTCCGTGAGGGCGAGGGATTCGAGACTGCACGGGAGCCATACGAGATAAAAATTTGGTGTGTACTGTCCCTTCATCTTTTGGTGTGCTAACAAAAACGCCTTACTATAGGATAACCGGAAGTGTAAATGGAGAAGTGTTCTTCTCTCACACCAAGGGCAATCCATTCGAATTTTGCTTTGGCAAAAAGGAGGTATAATATCTCTATCTTTGCGTGTCATACTCGAGTACAATGTTTGCCAGGTTCCAGTTGGTCTTGAGAAAGGCATAGGAACAATGACAAAAGGGGAGAAGGCTATTGTATACGTTACCACACAGTATCTTACTCCATCGTCCGCTATTCCTGATCTACCTGTTACTTCCGGTGAAGTGGCATTTGAAGTAGAAGTAGTTCAAATAATACAGGTATGATGCTGTTTTCTATTTCCTGATGGTTATATCGCGTTTTTGTAAGGTGCGAGACATGTTTGGCGATGGCCGCGTAGTGAAGCGGCGCATCCGTGATGGAGTAGGGGAATTTCCCATGGACTGCCCACTTCAAGACAGTACATTGCGCATACATTACAAGGGAATGCTACCAAACGAAGGTGGCAAGGTGTTTGTTGATACCCGAAATGACAACGAAGGCGGAGAGCCATTGGTTTTTGCTACAGGAGAAGGACTGGTATGCTTCGATTTATCGCGCATTGGAATTGAAAATGTTGTTTATGACAGGTTCCTGAAGGTTTGGAAATTTGCATTAAACTTATGCTACCCGACGAGCTTGCTCTTATAACTTGTTCTCCTGAATACGCTTATGACAAGTTTCCAAGGTGAGAAAACCCGTTTGCTATGGTATTTCACCATCTTTTGGCAGGCCAAAACTTGTTCCAGAGAATGCCCAAGTACAATGGGAGGTGGAGCTTTTAAGCTTTGACACTGTGAAGGTAAACTTTTATTCTATGTGCTTTTGTTCTCGGTATGATTTTGGACCGGCAGGATTGGACTGGGTACAATTTCAAGGAGATAATGGATGATGCCACTAAAATGAGAACCACCGTATTGTATAATTAGAGTAGTATTTTATCATCTAATTTTCAGTTTGCAGGGCAATCGGTTATTCAAAGAAGGGAAGTTTGAATTGGCGAAAGCTAAATACGAAAAGGTAATCTTCTTATCTTTTATTCTGAATATCCCAAAGCTGTTCTGATTATCTTACACAGATCTTACGAGAGTTTAAACACGTGAATCCTCAAGATGACAATGAGGGTGTAGAGTTTGCACAAGCTCGTGTAAGCTTTTCTCACTTTTAAAAGTTCGCTCTGCGATTAACTTGCGCATTTTGTTTACAGACTCTAATACAACTGAACGTCGCAGCTTGTGAACAGAAACAAGGAAACTTCAGGAAGTGTATTGAATTATGCAACCAGGTATGCACAATTAATTTTATTCTTTCTCTAACTTTGGATATGAATATGCAGGTTCTAGAAGTAAATCCTTGTCACTCGAAAGCACTGTACCGCCGAGGGAATGCTTTTATGGGAATGGGGGATTTTGACGACGCTCGGAAGGATTTCGAAAAGGCAAAAGTATTTAATAGTTAGAGGCATGTGTTCTTACAAATATTTTGCAGATGGCCAGTACAGACAAGTCGTCGGAAGCGGACGCAAAAGCTGCTCTATCTACACTGAAAAGGAAAGAGCAGGTTGGTAATTAGCAATGGACCTTCGTAATTCTGCTCATAATATTTCTGTGGCACAGGAAGCAAATGCTAGAGTTCGGAAGCAGTTTCAAGGGCTCTTTGACAAGAAGCCAGGTGAACTATCTAAAGAGACGCTCGAGCCAAGAGAGGTAGCCGAGAACAGTGCGCGATCCGAAGAGCAGCAGCCTGAGGAAATTGTTAATCCACCTTCCTCTTTGAGGCAACGAATGAAAACTATTTGGAACGCTGGGAGGAGTTTATGGAGAGGCCAAAGATGCGTCATTTTGTGAGCGGTACGTTGGCGCTGTTCTGACGTTGGCTGTATAATTTACTGTTTCTTTTTTGTAGGTGGAATCACGGGCTTGTAGGAATATAATACATACAAGAAAGGCTGGGCGGAGTCAACATCTGAAGTTAGCGGGGTCTACTTGTCAGAACTCGGCGCGATCTGATTTGTGACGAATTTGTCCAACGAACACATGGCATGGTATGGCTGAGAGTTACCTTAAAGAAACGTACGTCTTTTAGCGACGGAGCTTAGTACGTCGTTTCTGCGGTCTGCGATTTCCGAATGTTTTCTTGGTTGTCATTTTTCTTTAGTTTCTTTGAAATCTTGTTTCCTGTGACGTGTGGCATCCATGATAGTGCGCTAGTCTTGACTTTGTAGCTGACAGTCTTCCGTTGAGTGTCGAGGACTTCCGGGTCAAGCGTTTGTGTGAGAAAAGGCAGGAAAAAGAAAGGATGAAAAAAATTAAAAGACTTCTGTTTGATTGTAGCGTCGGAACCGGGGCTAATGGCTGTGTCTTGAATGCAGGATATCTTTGTTCAACTATACGAGTCTTTGCTCGTTTATTGATGCGTGGCACGGCTCAAAAGGATCTGCTTAGAAAAACAAGAGCCTGACAGTGATGTCTGGACGGTGGACTCAGTAGGCTCTGTGGTCTCACCCAACTCCAATTTAAACGGCGCCAGTTGCTGCGGAGGAAGGGGAAGGATGGAAGAGCGCTCCCGTCTTGCTCGTGAGCCATCCGAGTCCTCAGAACATGGAAGGAAGGGTCTGTTCGATTCAGCTAGAAATCTGGAAGGAAGACTTTCAGGAGGTAATTCTTCAGCACCAGGAGCACCAGCAGCACCAGCAGCAGAAGCCGAGACAGTTCCTGGCGGAAGAAAGAAGAACTACAACAAGTATGTTGTGTTTTGCACATTGCTGGCTTCTCTCAACTCTATACTGCTTGGATATGGTACGTTCTTCTTCTTCCTTTGGATATATGTTGGATCTCATTACTTTCTGTGCAGATATTGGTGTTATGAGTGGTGCCTTGCTGTACATTAAAGATGACTTCAAGCTCAACAGCGTACAGCAGGAAATACTGGTTGGTATTCTCAACCTGGTGTCTCTCGTGGGTGGGCTCATGGCTGGGAAGCTGGCCGATGCGGTTGGAAGAAGGAAGACAATGGCTACAGCCTCTGTGATCTTCTTCGTCGGTGCCTTGCTCATGGCATTATCTCCATCGTACCCAGTGCTCATGGGGGGACGAGTTCTATCGGGAATTGGGGTCGGCTTTGCTATGATCATCGCTCCAGTGTACACGGCAGAACTCTCTCCTCCTGGAAGCAGGGGATCCTTGGTGTCGTTTGCCGAAGTTTTTATCAACACTGGGATCCTGGTTGGCTACGTAGCGAACTTTGCACTCTCTCCGCTTCCCCAGTGGCTGGGATGGAGGCTGATGCTGGGACTCGGCGCCGTCCCTGCGGTGTTCCTGGCTTGCGCCGTGCTGGTGATGCCCGAGTCTCCTCGCTGGCTGGTGATGCAAGGCAGAGTCTCTCAAGCCAAGACCGTTCTCATCAGAACTTGCGGCGGGAACAAGGGCGAGGCGGAGTCGAGGCTCACGGCGATAGTAGAATCACTGGGGGACGAGTACGAGGCAGAGAAACAAGAGGTCCGGGACGAGCACACCTCAAAGATGGACCCTGAAGCCGATCAGCAGGCGGAGCTGCGCAAGCTCCCGTCGGTGGCTTCGTCGACCACCGAGCAGAGGAAGCCGATGCTTAAGCCAAAAAGAAAAAGAGGTAGCAACGTCTGGAAGCAGCTACTGCTACCATCGGCGCCAGTGCGCAGGATGCTACTGGTGTCACTGGGAATTCACTTCTTCCAGCAGGCATCCGGCGTGGACGCTCTCGTGTACTACAGCCCCACAGTGTTCGCACAGGCGGGGATGAAGAGCAGGACGAGCGTGCTGGGCATGACCATCGCCGTCGGCCTGACGAAAACTCTCTTCATCCTGGTGGCCACCATCTATCTCGACACCGTGGGACGCAGGCCGCTGCTCCTGGCCAGTGCCACCGGGATGACCATATCGCTCACCACGGTAGCGGTGACGTTCCGCTTCCTTCACGTCGGTGCCAAGGTGAACATGAGCGGCACACAGCACGCGTCAGTGGCGTTGGTGGTCATCGCCATGCTCGCCATCTGCGGCTTCATGGCGAGCTTCTCCATTGGATTCGGGCCGACGGTGTACGTGCTCACGTCGGAGATCTTCCCGCTCACTCTCAGGGCCCGGGCGATGAGCCTGTCCATCGGGATGAACAGGGGGATCAGCGGGACCGTGGCGCTCACTTACTTGAGCCTGGCCGAAGCGCTCACCACGTCCGGGGCCTTCTTCGTCTACGCCTCCATCGCGTTCGCGTCCATCGTGTTTATATTCTTCGTGGTGCCCGAGACCAAAGGCAAGTCGCTGGAGGAGGTTTGTAAGTATTTCGGGTGGCAGCCGGACGAGGGAGGTGGCGGCCAAGAGCTCAGAGAGGTTTAAACGTGGAAGATAGCATGCAAAGTATAGTAGTATGTGTAATAGGCAAAATGAAACAGAGTAGATTTCTCCCCAAGATTGAGTAACCATACATAATTTATTAGACTTGAAATCTGATATAATACATATGCCACAAGAAATGTGATACCATCTTCAGATAAAATGTCGAATACCTGTTTCCTCAAGGACTTCCATGAGATTTCAATGAAGAGATGGAATTCGCAGACACCGATGCGGTTGGGCTGGCTGAGTCTTTCGACCAGCCACCAGACAATCTGTCAATCGCCTCCTGAGCCATTCCCATAAACCAAGTCTCTTCAGGCAGTACACTGAAAAGAAGAGAAAAGGAAAAAGAAAAGTGAGACAAACATGTCTGTAAAGGCGAAAGGAAATCGCGAAGAACCTGTAAGGATCCATCCCGGTCGCAGCGTAAGCGTCAATAGCTCGTGCGATCAAGTCTTCCACGAGCTGCCTTAGATGTCTCAAAGAGGAGTGATTCACTTGGCCAGCCATTTGAACCGCAAACTTCATGTCCAGCACCATCTGCTTTTACGCAACGCAACAAACAAGAATGAGACACGGAAGATAAGAGAGAAAAGAAGAAAAGAAGAAGAGAACGAACCTGTTGAAGGCCTACTGGCCCCAGCGGTCTGGGACCATCTTCGATGTCCTCCCAAAAGTCTTGATCAGAGGAAAGATAGAGCACCACGGTTTCAACGAGCCGTATCAAGAGAACTGTCACGAATCTTTCCCTCCCAGACATCACGTCGCCACCGGCGGCTGCTATTGTCTTGATCCTCTCGAATAGTGTCTGCGAAAGTTCGGAATAAGTTAGAAGCTTCGCAATAAGTGAAGATGGAAACAAACAGTACCTGGAAGACCGGAGAAGGCATTGGATCGTCAAGCCAGGCGGAGTTGGCAGTGTCACCGTCGTTGTCCAGTCCGAGATAGAGGTCGGCACTTAGCAGGGACTCCCCCTCGTCGGTGTAGATGAGCTCCAGCGCGTACTTCTGGCAGAAGCGATCGCGCAGCTTGTCCACGGCACGCTGCGTTCTCCGCCGGAACTCCCTGTGCTCGGACCGCACACCCGTCGCTGGCTTGTCCAGCGACCGCCTCATGCGGCTCTCTTCTCTGTCTTTCAAAGGCAGGATCTTTACGATCGTCCGGGGTAGCAGCTCGTCGGCCATAGCTGCCGCGTTGGCCAACAGGGAAAGCTTCTCAGCGTCGGTGTCGGCCACCTTGATGCTGAGGTTGTCTGTGATCTCGGGAACGTCCTCATCGTCGATGGCAGCTGGCATCGCCCTCATGAGGAGATGAACAAACGAGTCGAAGAGGCGAGCCACACCATCAAGTGTCGTGCTCGTGAGATGCATGCTCGTCAAAGGCGTAACGTCGTCCACAAAGTCCTGCCAGCGCAAGCATGAAAACAAGGATAAGTACGAAAACAAGGATAAGAACTGAGGCATCAATCGCTTCACATACCTGGACCATAGAAATGAAACGATAAGCACTCGTAGACAGCTTCAAATGAGGAGGAAACAGGATCGACGAGGCCGCACGCAAGCCAGTACGGGGTGGCGGCTGCACCAAAGTCCAGTCGTCCGCGGCAGCTAAAACACTGACGCTGTCCTCTATTCTTCGCAAGTTGGCGTCCAGCGCCTGCTCCACACTCGGCTTCACCATCATTGTAAGCACGGGACTCAGCGCAAGGCCGTAACCTTCCAGGAGCGTGCAGTGGCCAAGAGCAATCTGTACGCACTCCGCCGCAGCTCGCAGGCCACCTGATGCTGCCGAGGCCGAAAGTACGTGCTTCTTTATCAGCGCCACGAAGTTTTCAGTCTCGCCGCGTGCCCAGAGAACCAGCTCGGATGCATACGATGGCTGCTCTCCAAAAACCGCGGTAGAACTCCTTGCGGCCTGGGCGATGTGTGAGAAGACGAGCTGACAAAGCCCCGCTGTGTAGGCACCACCGTAAGACGTGCCACTGGGGCGGAGGTTGGCGATAGCTCGCTGCAGTCGATCGTGGTGGGAATATAGCAGAAGAGTGTGTGCATGCGGGCCATCCCCGAGTCTGTCTAGAGCGGAGATAACCGAGCGGAGCTCTGCGCTCCGGATCGAAGGCTGCTTTGCGAACTGCGTCAAAAGTTCTGTAAGCCGGAGCCGCTGTTCCATAAAAAGCTGCTCCAGGCTGGTGCTGCTCTTGAGCGGCCGGAGCAGCGCTTCACAACGTTGCAAGGCGTCCATGGCCTTTTCTATCTTCCTCTCGGCAATGTAGATGTCAGTAACGTCGAGCAGAGCCCTGGCCTCGGTTTCCGACGCCGAGGTTGAGTCGTCATCTACATGCCCGTTTTCATGAGGTAAGGATCCACCATTCTCACTTATCATCGGAGGTAATTGTACCTCTGCGAGCTTGTGGACGAGCGCTGCTTGAGTGGTGAGGAGATTCCGCATCGAGACTAACTCACACTCCAGATCTGAGATCTCTCGTGACGTCCTGCCAGTGCAAAATTTAGTTTTTAATTCCTGGTTTCCTGTTCTTCACTCTTTCTTCTTTCCTCTCGATCCCCGGACTAGAACTAGAACTTACTGGATGAATGCCGAGTAGTTTGCGTAGACGCTCTTCCTCATCTCCTCTGCCGAGTCCCTTTTCAGCTCGGTAAGCTCTGAGCATAGCTTCCGGATTCCCTGGAGAATTGCCAAATCACTTGTGTAAGGACATGGGAAGCTCATTCTCTAGTTTTCTCCTCTTACCTTCTCGCTCATGGACTGGCACTTGCCTTGGACGTAAGAATCCGCGTCGAAAGACTCGGATTCAAACACTGAGAGCTCCTCTCGCGCATTACCTCCATTTGCCAAGTGCTGCCCGACCGGTCCCGACGACTTGGATCGAATCGAAGGCCTCATCGATCCCATATCCGCGATCCCTAGCTGGATTCGATGGAAGCCAGCTCCAATGCTCGCGATTCTAGATCACTGCCAGGACCTAGGGATTGCCTGCCATCGCCATATCGCTATCAAACAACTCTAGCCCTAGCCCTAAAAGAAATTTTAGTATGTTAGCTAAAGGCTAAAGCTTTGATGTTTAGGGCTTTTGGTTGGGAGCTGGGATGGCGCTCAAGGGCGTGCAAATGCGCGAATGCGGGCTCTCCACGGGCTCTTCGTCACTGGCAGTGAAAGCGTTCCAATTGTCAATCGCTGCGGCGCAAAATCCTCTTGCGATTGAGTACTGGGACTATCTGGTACGCTGTTTCTCCTCGATTGGCCTCAAGCGCGAGAAATTTCCATGGCCTTCTTGTTCTTGCAGAACGAGAATGTATGGGACTGATGCTCTGAATTGCGCTTGCAGGAGCACATTGAGGCTCCGCAATGGGTAGATTTGTCCGTGGAAGCGTCGCTAGAAGGCACGGAGGGGTGAGAATTCTTCTCTAGTTTGATTGGTTCTCTAGTGTGATTGGAAGCTTACGTTTTGATAGCGTTGCAGGGATGATCCATGGTTTTACCAACATCATCCGTAAGTTTGTTTACTTCTTTGTTTTCTCACTGAGAAAATTCTTTGCTGTTTTGCATCTCATCCAGGCATCATGAGACACCTCTGGAAGAACTTGTGTTTGCTCCTTGCTCGGACTTTAAGCAGGAGGTGGCCAACGAAGAGCTTAACTTCACGTCTAAAGAGGTGACAAGCTCCTCAGAGCAAAGTCTATCTCTGGAGTCTTCTCAGGAAAGGAGTGAGCTCAAGAACCATGAGAATGGTCGACTATTGCCTAGCAAACCAAAGCGAATTCAACTGCGGCCGGCTTGCGAGATAAGGTTTGCTCTCTGACTTCGTAGTGGCTTTCTTGTGATGGTTTTTACGTTTCAGAAAAGAAGATGGCAAGGATGGTAAGCAGGAAAGGAGTGAGAACAGTATTGGTTCTAGTCCGAGCGAGAGTTTCTCGGCAAAGTTGCTGGCAACTTTGATGGCCAGGCTACGAACCAACGAAGAGGTCCAAACTGCTTCGGACAGCAACCCACTGGACGATTCTCTTTCGAGCTCGAAGCAAATGAAGGGAGGCGATGACACAGATGCTCCTTGCGATATACACGTCCGAACGCAGCGAGTCAGAGCAAGTATTGCTTGTGTGACTCTTTCCGGGACAAGCAATCACGAAGGTAGCACCAAGCCAAGCAGGAATGCGACTGGAAGCCCGCTCAGGAACAAAGAGAACTCTAGCACACCGACACGGGGAAAATCAGCACTTGGCCAGGTGAAAAAGCCGAAGCTTATGAACGTGAGGAAGAGCCTGGCAACATTTGAGTTTGGCAAGAACTCCAATGGAACTTTTAGCATCGGACGCAGCGATGGAATGATGGTGCAAAGGCGGAGGCTTTCCTGCAAATCTCCACGCCTAAAGGTATGCCTTCTCTTTTTAGCTTGCAAACTGCTCGATCACAATGCAGACTCCAAAGTCTTTGCGAGCTTCGACCGAGAGGAAAAGCACTAAAATGGCTAGAGTATCTCCCGACACTAAAGGACCACCAGCGAAGGCAAGAGCTTATGGAGTTGCAGGTGACGAGTTAGCCGCTCTAATTGCAAAGGTAGAGAATTTACCTTCTTTTAGTTTCTTGCGCCTCACAGCCTTTTCTATTATAATTTCAGCACAACAGCAAGTTCCTTCTCAAGCCCAAGTATGAACCAAGGCTCCATTCAACTCGAGACATAAGAGAGGTACTTAAAGTTCTCTAGCCTAAGTTCTCTCCAGAGTATTCATCAAAAACAACGCTTTTGTTTTCCCTTTTATTTCAGTGGGAGAGAAGAACCGGGCAGCTATATTATAGCCTCCAACCGATTGAGCGAGTGAAAGTGAATCAGGATATCACAGAATTTAAGAGGTCCAAGATTTTGTGACCCAAGTTTCATTCTTAATTGCTTTTCTTGTATACTCATTTTGTAAATGGAAAGAGAGTCTGAACTATTATTTTCCCTTTTTTTAGAATCCTTGATAAAATATTAGTTCCGTTCCCCTTATTGGATGAGATGGATTGTTGGATTGAATATTTCAGATCTGTAACATGGTTTGGAATTCCAGATCAGATCATTAATATGGGGAGTGGAAGACCTCTTTACTGGATTTATATAGCAATTAATTTGTGATTGCGCATTTTTATATTTT